ATGCAATTACTTGACATAAAACATAAATCAAATCCTAGAATAGGCCTATTGCCCTTTCATCATATACATGCTCCAATATTACACAAGGTCTCGAGAATACAATCTACAATGCTTCCTTACAATATTACAACAACCTTAAAGAAACAACATCAATATACAACATAAATCCTCCAAAATAAAATGTGGTAAACATAAGCTAAACTTAGACAAAATATGGCATGAACATCGATGATACAATACATAATACTAACTCTACATACAGTGATCATGCCCTAAGTCTAGCCTAAGCCCAATGGCCGCGAAATGCAGAATGGCTCTATGTCCAAGCTCATCCTACGGGCCTCTTGCCCGCCGCTCCAACACCACTGACACTACTTGAAATAAAGTCCCCAAAGCGGGATGAGATATACGGATATATCTCAGTAACCCAGAGGTTCTGGAGAATACTCCACCCAATGGCTCACTTCGATGCATATCAATAACATAATACAACATTTAAAACGGGATAAAGCAAGAGATTTAGTGAAGTATGGAAACATAGGGAGCAAAATACGACGAAGCTGGAATGGTCAATGCCTAAGCCACGCAACGTCCGGCCTATTGGCCTCGACATATAGCCTACGGGTTTCAAACCAAGGAGTGTTCCCAGAACATCAACCAAGGCACCCTCCTTCCATATCCACCTGAGACTTCCTTGTGTGCTCCTCTACGGATGACACACCATGACCCCAGGTCAACTGGAACTCCCTCATGGAGACCTATCCAGTGGAAGTCCGTAACGCCCGAAGGCAACTGTCTACTGGCCAGAGACTCGGTACATCCTATGTACCACTAAACATACAACAATGCATGAACATGTTATACTACATTACTAACATACACCTCCAACCACTACCCTCAACGGACATGGTGGAGCACACACGAGGATCAAACCCTAGTACCAAGGGATTACCTGAATAATCTCTTTCTTACAGCTCCAATTCAATATGTTCCCGAGCTTGGTACAAATAGAAATGCCTACACATAGGACATTCCCCAATTCAATTTCCATTCACCAATGCGTATACATGATTATAAAGGAACACATGCATAGGTTCAAGACCACTCACCAAAATCCCTTTGGTCCGGGACCAAAGGCAACCCACCAAGCTCACGGTTCCGAGTTCAATTTCGCGGGAGGCAACTTACAATGATCACACAAGGATCATCAATACAAGGTGCAACCAACCAAGATTACAAAGCACCAAAATCCCTCCCCCACTTATGCTTGGTTCGGCCATTATAGGCTTAAATCACAAAATATTTTTCTTTAGCATCCCAAGACTACGACAACACCATTTTAGGTCCCACTTTCCATCCTACACCATCACAACATCATTTTTCCCATTTATTTCCTTATAGGTCCAATGTACGCTCTAATACAATCCAAGTATTTTTTCCTTTAATTTTCCATGCATCCACTCATCACACAACACCTCTAAATACCATTTAACAACACAACACATCCATCACATAATTTCACAACATCCAAGGGGTATTCAACTCAGTTCAACAACTCCACACATCATACAATCCTACTATTAACTCATACAAACACTCAACAATTCAATTACACAATCCTACAACACATCAACTTCACAAAGTCATGAACCACAACCAAAAATTTACTAAGTTAAAACTCAATTTTCATCAATAATTTTTATGACACCAATCGCTCTAAAACATCATTCTAAGCCACAATTGTCTAATACACAATTTCAATTTGAGCTCTCTAACTACATCAATCAAACAACTCATGCTCTAGGTTTTCAAATTTAAAGTTCACGAATCATCCATGAAATGTGTTGAAATATACTCACAAACTTGGCCTAGAACCCCTCCAAGTGATCCCCAAGCAATGGCTTGAATACACAACTCCAAAAACCTCAAATTTCCTCCAAGGGGCACGGATGATTTTGCGTCTTTTCTCCCAAATGAGTGAGCTTCAAGGAAAACTAATCAGTGGGATGTGTTTGGATGATGATTTCCAACAACTTTGGTGACAAACTTTGTTGGATTTGAGTGAGTATGGAGGAAGTTAGGAGGGGGAGAAGATTTGGAAGAAAAATCTCCCTTCCATGGAGTAGGGCGCGAGTTTCTTGAAGGAGGGAGGAGAGAGAAGGAGCTGGTTGGTGGTGTGGTCCAAGTGGCAAGGTCCACTTAAGTGAGGTGGGCCCCACCGCCACCTCATTCGATTTCAAACTAATTCGAATCTCCCTCCTTTTCCGCTAAACGATTGTAATTTCATAAACTAATTAGAAACTCTAATTTTAACATAAACCATTGTCCTTTAATTTCCCTTGATCAGATGAATCCGGAGTTTTCCGGTCGTTCGAAGAAATTGCAGTTTTTAGCTGTTATGCGCGCCGTGGGCACGCTTCCTCAAACACACTAATTTCCATCAATTTTCACCAGAAATCATATTTCCTAGTCCTATGTACCATTTATAACTTATATTCAAACTTATAGCTCAAAATTCATTCGACACATTTTACGGTGCAACTGTACCGCGGTATTTTTACCAGGTAAAAACACTATTCACCGAATTTTCAGAAACTTGCCTAACCACTCAATATTTTGTTCTGAATCTATTTCCAGCGTTAGTTTTCTCATTTGAGACCTCCCACTCAATTTTACTGTCAAGGATTACGTGTTTGGCTAATTACGGTTTTACCCTTCTTTTGAATTTTGACCTTAATTTCAGGATTTTCACTAATCCTATCATTTTATTCATATTTAATATATTAATATATGTTTTAGAAATGTGAGGTGTTATAAGTAAGCCCAATACAACATCGTTTTGGGGCAAAAATTATGGTGTTTTTGTAATTTTAATTTATTTCGGGGTTATTATAGTCTTTATAATTATAAATTTTTAATCTTTCAATCCCAAAACGACGTCGCTTTGGGTGTAAATGCAGATAACTTATCTGCAGTAACTACAGAAACATTTTTCTGTATATATATATAGGGAAAAAACATTTCTCCGACAACTTGAGATTAGTTTATCTCCGGTCGTCCTAAAACTACGCCGTTTTGTTTATTTATTTCCTTATATTAATTGATTCACCTTTGAATGGTTATGATTCCCTTTTTATCTCTCTTCCTTTATCACAATTGATCCATCTTTGTACGGTTATGATTTAGTACCCGGATTATCTCAAGCAGCTTGAGAAACTATAAGCCCATATATGTGTGTGTGTGTGTGTGTGTGTAAAAGACAATAACTGACTCCAATCAACAATTCAAATGAAAGTGTATTACAAACACGTAAATCGAGACGCAAATGATAAATGGTTAACGAGTTGCAAATGCCAGCACTGGACCTTACTGCTGGCAAGAGATAGTCATTGAGGAGTGGAGCCCCAATCGTTCTAACGCTCCACCGCCCTTGCTTTTGATTAGCCTGTAGATGCTTATATAATTCGAGTTATGAAAGAAACACACAACACTCAAAGATTTGGACTGGTAAATCTCCATTCTATTTGGTTGTATTTGAGTGATTTGTATTCTCCCTCTATAACAAAGAATAAAATGAAGTTTCATATCACAATGCGATCAATGTTATATATAGAAAAATATTTCTGCAATTAATGCAGATAAGTTATCTGCATTTACTTTCAAAACTATGTCGTTTTGGGATTGAATGATAAAATTATTATAATTATAAAGATTATAATAACCTTGAAATAAATTAAAATTACAAAAATACCTTGATTTTCGCCCCAAAACGACGTCGTTTTGGGGCGAAAATCAAGGTATTTTTGTAATTTTAATTTATTTCAGGGTTATAATAGTCTTTATAATTATAGTTTATTAATATTTTAACACCAAAATGACGTCCTTTTGGGAGTAAATGCAGATAACTTATCTGCAGTAATTGCAGAAATATTTTTCTGATATATATATATGGGTTCGCTTTTCTACATTCAATGTAGATAACTTATCTACATTGAGATCAAAACAACGTCGTTTTGAGGCGGAAATCATATTATTTTTGTAATTATAATGTATTTTAGGTTTATAATACTCTTTTTCGTTATAATTTTTCAATTTTAAACCCAAAATGACGTCATTTTGGAAGCGAATGTAGATAACTTATCTACATTCATTGTAGAAACATTAAAGCCTATATATATATAGGGAAAAAATATTTCTACGGCAATTTAAGATAAGTTTATCTTCGGTCTTCCCAAAACTATGTCGTTTTGTTTATTTATTTCCTTATATTAATTGATTCACCTTTAAATGGTTATGATTTTCTTTTTCTCTCTCATCCTTTATCACCATTGATCCATCTTTGTACGGTTATGATTTAGTAGCCGAATTATCTCAAGCAGCTTGAGAAACGATAAGCTCGTATATATATATATATATATATATATATATATATATATATGGTTGTATGTTTTTTTGAACTATTCACTCATTTTATCTTATTTTTTGGTGTGGTATTCACTCATTTTTTACAGGTTGCAATGGATGAATATGATGTTGGTCTTCCATCATCACCTCCTACGGATGAAGGGGTTTTATCCATGGTATTCAACTCCCATCATCCCTTATATCTCATTCATATTTTATATGTTAGTTATATTTTGGGTTTAATTTTTCTTTTTAATGATACATAGTTTGAAGATGATGATGGTGTTGAGTTTGAAAACGATGATGGAGCTGACTTTGGAGATGATATATTTGATGGTGAGGCATTGGTTGAGGACAAAATGAATGAAATTATAAATGAAGACACCGATGGGGTAAGATTGAATTGGCACATGTAATGAAGTTTGGTGATGTTTACAAATTTTGAGATGCATTGAAGGAGTGGTCTATTTCTCGTGGGTTTGAATATACATGTGTGAAAAATGAAAGAAGCAGAGTAAGAGCACTTTGTAAGGTTTCCAAAGAGTGTCCATTCTTAGTACATGCATCGGTGGTTGGTGGAGAGAGCACTTTTCAAATTAAAACATGGAAACCCATCCACACATGTCCTAGACAAGATATAAACAACCTCATTACTTCCAAGTACTTATCAAAAAAACTATTGCAGGATTTAGATCCAACCCGAAGGAAGAAATGAGTGGATTGAAAAATGGAGTAAGTAAAAGTGTTGGGTAATATACATAATATATTTTTATTACATGGGTTATTGTTGTACAACAGCTCTTATGAAAATTTGGATTACTTCATATCTCAGGCAATCATATTATAAATTTTTTGTTGGAAGTAGATAATAATTTAACTTTTTGTTGTACAATGCTTCCAGATTGCACAATAATCATCATACAAACTTTACAAAGCTCTTATAGACGTTTACGGTATAAAGATTGAGAAAGGTTATACTTATAACCTATTTTTGTTTACAATATTTATTGCGAATTAATAATTAATTAATGAGTATAATTTGAAAAAATTATAACCGTTGATTGACGAAAATCAATGGTTAAGATATGATTGTAAAAAATTGTAAATAAAAATAGGTTGTAAGTATAAGCTTCCTCATAAATATTAACCTTATTTCTTTGATCAAAAAAATATTATAGAAAATAAAAAGAAGAGTAAATAGAAGAAAAGTGAGTGAGGATGATGAATCCTATGCAACAAGACACGAGAGAGGAAAAGAAAAAATTAAGAGGAAGTATTGGATTAGGATTTTAAAAGATTTTTTTGAGATAAAAATTTTTTAAAGGGACTTTAAAAAAATTAAAAAATATTTTTTACAATCAAGATTTCGTAAGATTGAATTTTAAAGGATTTTAATAGAATTTATAAAATTTTAAAAGACAATATGAATTTATAAAAAATTTAAAAAAAAATTAACAAACATCCAAAATTAAAATAACAAAGAAATACAATAATATTAATAAAAAAAGTAAAACCTAATATAATTTTTTCAATTAGTAAAATATAATATAATTTTTAACAAACATTCAAAATTACTAAGCAATAGCTCTCCACGTATTAAAATTCCCTCTTTCTCTTTACCCTTTCCTTTCTTATTTTCTTGTTGTGAATCCCCCATTTACTATGATAAAATTAAAACTAGACAATAATTAAAACAATTTAAAATGAGATTAATATCAACACAATTCAAAAACAGGTTTATTCAAATGAGTAAACCAAACCAATGTTAAATAGTTCCAACAAACAATAAAAAAAGATTGACTAAGCAAATGATTATGTAAGGGGGAAAAATAGAGCAAATTCTTACAAAAACAGAGCACATGTATTGTTGTCTCCAACTGAGATCATATACATATACAAATTGCAGACAATGATCATTGAATATGTATGTGGTCTTACATATATGTGTGTGTGTGTGTGTGTGTGTGTGTGAGATTCATTTTTTTAAGTTACTTTAGATAAATTTGTCTAATGTTCATCGAAACAGCATAGTTTTGGGGCGAAAATCATAGTATGTTTGTAATTTTAATTTATTTCAGGGTTATAATAGTCTTTATCATTCTAATTTTTTAATCTTTCAACCCAAAAACTACGTCGTTTCAGTGAACATTAGACAAATTTGTCTAAAGTAACTTTTGTTGGACAAGTGGCCTCAAACTCAAGAGGGGGGGTGAATTGAGTTTTAAAAATATTTTCGCAAGATGCCTCACTTTCTTTCTTGAAAGAGATTTTCTTGAATTAATATGATTTATACACAAGTAAGGCTAAGAGAATATAAATCAATACAAGCAAATAATATGCAAAGTGTAAATCTAAATAAGCTCGAGTAATCAACATATTTAAGTCTTTAGAGATCAACTTATTTAAGTGACTCATGTCAATGTGTGCAATTCGTTTATGCCATAACCATGAATCATTTTCCTTACTAACCAAGCAACTATCGTCATTTGAAGGCATACCATCTAGATCAATCATATAGATATTATCAACTCTATAGCCTTTAAACTTAACTTGCCCATCATTTAGACTTTCAATTTTGCAACATTTAGAATCAAAAACAACTTTAAAATCTTTGTCACATAATTGACTAATACTAAGCAAGTCATGTCTAAGACCATCAACAAGTAAAACATTTTCTATACAAGTTGATGAGGAGTTGCCAACTTTCTCAATGCCAAGAATTTTTTCTTTGTTATTATCTCCATAAGATACATGTCCATGTTCCTTTCTTGTAATTGAGAGGAATTTGGTAATGTCTCCCGTCATATGTCTTGAGCAACCACTATCCAATACCCATTTAGATGAGACACTCTTCAAGCACACCTACAAAACAAATTTAACATTTAATCTTTAGTACCCAAATTTGTTTGGGTCCTTGTGTGTTAGTCATGGGTCTAGTTCCCTTAGAGACCCACACTTTCTTTTGACCACTAATTCCATTCTTTCTAATCTTACATGTCGATGCACTATGTCCTTTTCCACCACAATGATAGAATTTAATGAAAGGACTACTAGTCATGTAAGATGGTGATATGAAAAAGTTGTTATAGGATTTTTCTTGTATGTTAGTGTCGAATCCTAAGCCGGATTTGTTAAACATACATCTTTGTTTTCCAAGCAATACATTTAAGTTATCTCTACCACATGTAAACTTGCTTAGCACATTGTTTAAATCATCAATTTCACTTTTTAGCTTTTCACATGAAGTACATGATGATGATGATGCATGATCATTTGAAGATAAACATTTAATGCAATTTGCACTAGCATCAATCAATTTAAGTGTTTCATTTTCATCTTTTAACTCTTTTACTTCTTTGTTTAAGCATGCAATTTGTTTTTCTAAGGAGACAATGGTCTTTCTCATTTCTCTAAGAGATTTAACATGCTCTAGAGATTCACTATGTAATTCATCAAATAAATTTTGCAATTCATCATATGAAGGAGATATAGTAGAGCAAGTAGAGTTTACCTCAGATTCCGACTCATTGCCATTTTCTATTGTCATGAAACACATATGTTGCATTCCTTTACTTATCTCATTTGAGGCTTTAGAATCTTGCAAGAAGCATACATTTGCTTCTTCATTACTTGAATCATCGGAGGAGCTTGAATCTTCATCCCAAGCCACATAGGCCTTCTTTTCATAGTTTTTCTTATCCTTGAATTGATTCTTGTCACTCTTTTCTTTCTTTTGAAGCTTAGGGCAATCGGCTTTAAAGTGTCCGATTTTTCCACATTCATAACATGTATGAGGAGGTTGAGAAGCTCCTTCATCCTTGAATCTTCTCCTTGGAGGAATTGGAGGTCTTCTTTGAAAATTCTTTTTCTTGAAGAATTTTCCATATTTTTTTACGAAGAAGCTCATTTCATCTTCATCTAATTCATCATCGGAGAGCTCTTTTTCTTTTTCTTCCTCCACTTGAGATTTGGAGCTAGTGGCTTGCAAAGCTAATCCTTTGGTTTTCTTCTTGGCTTGCTCCTTCAAAGTCAGTCTTGCCAAATCTAACCCATGCTCTTGGAGCTTCCCAAAGAGTGTAGCAATGGACATATTCTTCAAGTCTTTTGATTCACAAATAGTCGTCACCTTGGGTTGCCATTCCCTATTCAAGCTTCTCAAAACTTTAGTTACCAATTGAAAATTATTGTATGAAGCTCCTAATGCATCCAAATGAGTAATAATATGAGTAAATCTCTTTTGCATGTTTTGGATAGTTTCACCATAATTCCTTTCAAATAATTCAAATTCTCTAGTTAATCCAAGAACTTTAGAGATTTTAACTTCACTAGTTCCTTCATGTGTTACTTCAAGCACATCCCACATTTCTTTTGCGGTTTTGCAAGAAGCTACACGAAAATATTAATCTCTACCTATAGCATTGGTAATCAAATTTCTAGCCTTAGCATTCTAATTTGCTTCTTTAATTTCTTCTTCGGAAAATTCCTTTACTTTCTTTGGAACATCGTTGTTGCTTTCATCCTTTTTAGTGGGACCTTGATATCCCTCAACAACAGTGTTCCAAACTCTTAAATCAATTGACTCAAGAAAAATTTGCATTCTACTTTTCCAATAAGCATAATCGGTGCCATTAAAGAAGTCTTGTGGTGGAAGTTCCCTCGATAGGCATATCATTGTTCAAAGAGGCCATCTTTACTCTTGAAGTGGTTAAGCTCTTTATACAAGAGTCCAAGCTCTGATACCACTTGTTGGACAAGTGGCCTCAAACTCAAGAGGGGGATGAATTGAGTTTTAAAAATATTTTCGCAAGATGCCTCACTTTCTTTCTTGAAAGAGATTTTCTTGAATTAATATGATTTATACACAAGTAAGGCTAAGAGAATATAAATCAATACAAGCAAATAATATGCAAAGTGTGAATCTAAATAAGCTCAAGTATTCAAATAATGCTAATGTAATGAGATAAAGGGTTAGAGAGATTGCAAACACTATATATCCTAGTCCGGTCACCACCACCGTGACCTACGTCCAGATTGAAGCCGCTCGTTCAACTTTCCACTAATGATCAAGCTTCAAGGGTGCTTGATAAACCACTACAACCTTCAAGACTTTTGGTTCTTGAAACCCTTACACTTCCACTCACTTTCTTCGGCTATGAGCAACCTTTACACTATGGTTTCACTACCCTCAACTCAAATAAACAGAATGAGAGTGTTTAGAAATGGATTTGTACTCTTAAAGTACAGATTATACAAGTTGAAGCTAATGGGTATTGATCAATGACACAAGAATAGAGCTCAAAGGAGTTTTATGATCAAAATGAGAAAGAACAAGCAATGAATGATTTTAAATCAATGAGAATGATCAAGAATGATTGCAAAATCAATGGAATAGTAAAACTTAGCTTGCTGGTTCGTAATATATGAGTTTATATAGGTGTTGGGACGAAACTAGCCGTTTATAGCTGTTACACTACTTACTGTCCAGTAAGTATTCGAATACTTTTCGTGAAGTATTTGAATACTTCATCTATCTGGTATTCGAATACTTTTCTTAGGGTGTGTTTGGTACAAGAGAAATTTTTTGGTATCCGGGAATCACGATTAATGGGAATACAATAGAAATTGAGTTTACTTGGAATCTTACGAAAAATGTGTTTGGTTCGCCAAAATATTACCGGGAATATTGGATAAAAATTACTGATTCCATGTTTGGTTTTGAACGAAATATGACTTGGAATATGAGGTTATTTTACAAAAATAACCCCAAACTATTTTTACTTTTGTAATTGATAGATTGGGTCTAGGTTTTTATGTGTGTTGGGGTATTTTTGTCTCAAAAATTATTGCTGTGCTTTCCCTTTACTTGGTATTCTAAATTACCATATTATTTTTGGTAATCTTTTTATTTTTTTGAATACAATTATTTTTGGTAATCTAAATAGTGATTTTTCTTTATAAATCGAATTACCGGTAATCCTTGGATATTCGGGAACTGGTTTTTGTTCCTTCTACCAAACATGGTAATTGGGTTTACAAAAGAAGATTTACCAGTAATCCTTTTGAAATACTTGTACCTAACACACCCTTAAGGTATTCGAATACTTTGTTCTCATCACAAGTATTCGAATACCATCAAGAAAGTATTCGAATACTTTCTTGACATAACCTCTATAATGCAGTTTTATGAGTTGTAATGCATTCCTTTTCGTCTCTAATCACTTTTAATGTATTTCCTTGACTTGCAAAACATGTTTTGAGGTTACGAAATATGTCAAGGGTCTTTTTCATAATAATTAAAGCTTTCAAGTGATTGATGACATGAATAATGCATGCATAGAGTTAAATATCCTTTGAGCTCATTTATGCAACATTAATCAATTACCTTTACATTAGATCTAGGCTCTCAAGAGCATGTTCAATCTTGATCTGGTGTGTTGAATGATTTGCTCTTGTTGTCTTGTTTGAATTGCTTCCTTGGACTTTTGATTGTTGCGAGTTGTATTATCTTTGATGTCGCTTCTATGCTTGTTTGTTATCATCAAAACTCTTGTATAAATGATCTCTTCATTTTTAAGCGCATTGGTTTCACAACTTTAATCCTATATACATATATATATATATATTTCGTTTTTTATAGTTAATGTAAATAAGTTATTTACATATTGGGGCGGAAATCAAGGTATTTTTGTAATTATAATTTATTTCAAGATTATAATTATAACACCTCACAATTCTAAATTAGATATTAATATATTAAATGAGAATTAAAAGGAAGGATTAGTGAAAATTCTGAAAATTAGGCCAAAATACAAAGAAAGGGCAAAACGGTAAATTAACCAAGCACACAACCCTAGGAAGGAAATTGAGTATAAGGTCTCGGATGATAAAAAGAACTCTGAAAATTGATTCAGAACGAAAAATTGAGTGGATAGGCAAGTTTTAGAAAAATCAGTGAATAATGTTTTTATCGGGGGAAAATATCGCGGTACGATTGCACCGTAAAACGTGCTGATTGAGTTTTGAGCTCTAGGTTTCAAATATGAGTTATAAATGGTTTATAGAACTTGGAAATATGATTTTTGATAAAATTTGATGGAATTAAGTTAGTTTGGGGAAGCGTGCCAACAGTGCGCGCAACATCTTAAAACAGTGTTTTCTCCGAACGACCAGAAAACTCTGAATTCATCTGATCAAGTATAATTAAAGGAAAATAGTTAATGTTAAAAATTAGAGTTCTAAATAGGTTGTGAATTCACAGACTTTTAGAGAAATTCAGATGAATTTTAAATCGCGTGAGGTGGCGTGGGACCCACCCCACTTAAGTCCACTTATCCACCTAAGCTATTCATTATTCACTATTTGGGAGAGCATATCTCCCTCCATAGAGGTTTGATAGGGACGTGCCATACTCCATTTTGAAGCTTGAGATGTCCTCTACATTGTGTAAAAATATGAGAATATTCTGGGTTTAACGCAGTCCTGGAGAAGCCTGTGAACACGGACTGTCCAGAACGCTCCTATGCAGGGGCTGTTTCTGGCAGAATATGGGAATTTTATTCCCGCTTCGTTTTTCAGTCAAATTAAGCGTATGATATATCAAATTGAAGGTTGAGGTGTCTAGTTTGTGGTGTAAAAATTTTAGTGCAATTGGATGAGAGAATTTTCTGCAGTAATTCATGGAGTGAGGGATGTTTAGAGCTGTTTTGGGGTTGTTGGCAGTTTTGCTTGTCCAACTTCAAACGGTGATAACTGGAGCAAACGAGCTCCAAATAAAGCGTGTAATAGCTTCCTAGAAATTTAATTAAGTAAGAAAAAAATATAGCAAGAAAGGAAGGTCTGGTTTTGTGCGGTGAGTCCGCAGAAAAATAATTACCGAACCATGTTCGGATAGGTAGAAAACGTAAAATTGAGAAATTAGCTAAGTGGGTTTATGGGAACCCCTTAGTGGGTTTTAATAAGTAAAATAAGTTAGAAGAGTAGTTTATATAAGTATTCCGCAAAGAGTCTACAGTTACGGTCACAACTTTTAATTATTACGTTTTTTATTGTTTTAAATACTCGCGTAATAACGGAAAAAGTTTATTCGTATTTTTACAAGTGAGTTGTTGTGATTGTAACTGCGCTTAATATCATAATTAATGTTAACAATACCGGTGCACAACGGGCTGTTACAATAATAGACTTTCTTATTATCATTTTTTTATTTTTTTCAACCAAAACGACGTCATTATAGGAGTGAATGTAGATAAGTTATCTGCATTCACTATAGAAACATTACCAAATCTTAACTGTTGATTTCTGCCAATCAATAGTTATCATTTATTGGGAATTAATAATTAATTAATAATCGTTGATTGGTGAAAATTAACAGTTAGGATTGGTGTCAAATTTTAAAGTTTGACACAGGTGTCAAAGGATCTCTGATCAAGGGCCGGGGCACAAGGGTCCTGGTACTATCCAGGTGCGAAGAACCCCGGAGGTGACTGCAATGAGCAGAAATCTCACTCACCGGCCTAAACGACGAGCAAACACTCGAACGTGAGAGCAAGGGATCACCTAACGAATGGACGAGCAACGATGTTAAATTTTAAATTTGACATCTCATATGAGAGTTGTTGGATCAAAAAAGATCAATGGTGTCACATGCTTACAAATCAAAGTCGTTGATCGTTTTTGATCTTATGGTTCTTAGATGAGGTGTCAAACTTTAAATTTGACACTGGTATCAAAGGATACTACCCTATGCATATATGGTATCAGAGCAGTTTTGTTAGGGAACTCTGATAATGCATAACTGTATTTTGTGTTGCATAGCTATCTGTGAACTGTTTATTATTAATGTATATGTGATTCCTCAGTGTGGGTCTGATCAGCTCATTCCTTTCTGTTACATGTACATATATCATGAGTAGGGCATGAGGTCGCAGTGGAACTCGAGGTGCAGGTCGTCTAGCAGCACCAGATCCTATTACTGCTGTTCTTAATGCTCTGCAGGAAGAGACTGCTGCAAATAGAAACATGACCGAGACCCTGATGAAAAATAATCAGGATATGATGCATGCCTTCATGAATGAGATGAGGGCGGATAGGGCTCAGAACAGGAGGGATGATTCTCCTCCACATACGACTATGGAGACTCATACCCATACGCCATCTGTTACACCTCAGCAAGAGGGGAGTGGTGCTAGTCGTCAGTCTGGTGAGGCTAGTCACCACACTACTGATCCTACTTATATCTCTGAGCCTTCTGCGGATCCTTTTGTTGTTGCTCAGTCGTCTGGGGTTGCTGGGCAGGTATTTGTTGGTACTGATGAGTAGAGGCTCCATTCTTTCAGAAAGCATAAACCACCAGCATTTCAGGGG